ATATCCTTCCACCAAAAGAAATAGTCCCTCATAAATCTTGCTTCTTTGTAGATTTTTGAGCAGTTTTTTCCTTGAATGTTAAAAAAAAATTACATTGTTTAATTTAAATATGTTATAAAAATTGAATTTTAATAAGTAGTTTTGAAGTAAAAGCTTCTGCGTGAACTTTTCTAAAAAGCTGACGAGTGACTTACCTTAAGTAAGCATGGTCATTTAACTGAGCTAAAAACTGTTTTATGAAAAATGTCCGTCTCTATTTTTTGACAAAAAATATTATTATAAAATATATGATAAGGACTTGGAGGAGGCTGGGCATATTGGATTGGAACAGCATGTCAGCAACGCTGGAATGGAGGTATTTCTTTGTCGTTAAGGAAATAACAGAGGTAAGATTGTTTCATTATTATTTTGGCACTCTCACTAACTACTAACATTCCCCCCCCCCTAACTTTCAGCACCTCTTTTGTTATTATATAATTTTGGGGTTTTTTTTGTACTTTTGATTTATATTTGTCTCATCTTCTCTGTTCTCTCTTTGCCGGGACTTCATCGTTGGAGATGGTGGACTTGGAGGCAGCTGGCTCTTCATCGTTGGAGTTTTTGAAATACTAGTAAGCATTTGGAGGAGGCTGGGCATACCCGGTATTGGATTGGAACAGCATGCCAACAACGCTGGAAGGGAGGTATATCTTTATCATTAAGGAATAGCAGAGGTAAGATCGTTTTATTATTATTTTGGAACTCCCACTAAGTACTAACACTTCCCTCCCCTCCCCCACTCTCAGCACCTCTTTTGTTATTATGAATTTTTGGTTTTGTTGTTTGTACTTTTGTGTTATATTTGTCTCTCATCTTCTCTGTTCTCTCTATGCTGGGACTTCATCGTTGGAGATGGTGGACTCGGAGGCAGCTGACTCTTCATCGTTGGAGTTTTTTTTAAATAAGGATTTGGAGGAGGCTGGGCATATTGGATTGGAACAGCATGCCAACAACGCTGGAATGGAGGTATTTCTTCATCATTGAGGAATAGCAGAGGTAAGATCTAACAATTCTATTAAACTACTTACAAATCATCCATACATACAACTATATATAACAAATCCTCCTAACAAACTAACAAATCCTCCTAACAAACTTCTAACAAAGAACTTTAACAAACTTCTAACAAATCACTCTAACAAACTACTAATAAATCACCCTAACAAATCATCTTAACAAAGAACTAAGAAAACATTGTAACAAGATACTAAAAGTACTAACAGTCTGCTTAATGTTGTGTGATGCATCTAGTATGTTGGTGTTAGTGTCTGTGTACGTGCTTGTCACCTTTCGCTTTCAGCCATCACTGCTGGCTAGCAATGCAAAAAGGGAAGGAATTTTTAGAACTTCCCATGCCAGTACATAGCCTCTCCACAACAAGTCCTATACGCTGCCTCCACGTGGCAGCAGACGGATACTGAGCACCTTTCGGTCCCAGGCTAACTTAATTCGCAAGGGCGCAAGGGAAGATGAGTCTAGAAAGCCTTGAGCATAGTTGGGACTTCGTCTATGAGAGAAAACTCATCACAACCCCGATTTAGTAGGATACTCAGTTGAAATATAAGTGCTAGCTGATTTATCCCTTTTAAAATAGAAGTGAAACCTTGTCCTGTCGTCGTCATCCTTGTACTAAACTTTCACATTTTAATCTTCTTCAGCTAGGACAACTGGGCCAAATTCAAAATGGGATTCGTTTATTCAAATGAAGGACCACACCCTCTTTCAGGGGATATTATTACAAATACATGATGATGTGAAAAATTAATGACATATCTTTTTAAAAAATTAATCTTTCTTTTCAAGAACCACTGGGTGTGGAAAAGTGAAATGTTTAAATGTTAATCACAGTGTAAATGTTTTTAATATTATGAATTATTTTTCCCTTTGAAAATAAGGTGTCTTCTACTTATTCTCACTTTTTAAAAATTTCAATTCGACCTATTTATCATTTAATATTATAATCATGATTATAACATTACCTGTTTATATATGTTGTTATAATCATGATTATAATATTGTTTTTTTTTTTAATTGTATATGCCCCCTGAGGGCCTTGATTGGTAAATAAATAAATAAATAAATAAATAAATAAACATATAACTCTGTATCAAGATAGGTTTTGCCAAATTGGTCCAGCTAGTGGTTCTGGTATACAGCGTTAAATAACAAATATGGAGTACGCCTTGTACACAACGAAAATAAATTCTTATTCACTATAATTCAGTATTTGAGTATTTTATTTGAACCGGAGACATTACATCTCATAGGTAAACAATATTCATACATAAGATTTGTACAGGCTATACAATATACATGTAATAATTGCATAACAATATCATTTAATTATTATTTAGAACATCATTTCTTAATTGATGAGAAAAATACAAAAATTTGCCCAGGTTACATAGTTCTTTAGTATTTGTAGAACTCAATAGCTGTACTAATTTAAATACTGATGGTTTTTTAAAATAATAACACTTAATATATTTAATTCTAAGTTCTTCATATCGAGGACATTTTAATACAAAATGAAATTCGTCCTCTATCTCACCTGACCTACATATTTCACATTTTCTATCTTTTCTTTCTATATTACTGTACCTTCCCCTTTCTATTCTTAAATCATGAGCTGATAGCCTTAAACGACTGATAGGTATTCTATACTTAGAATGCAATGGTTTTCTTAAATAAGTCTGTAATGCAACATTATCCACTAAATGTTGGAATAGAAAATATTTAGGAGAATTACAAATTCTTGCCATAATTTCTTGTTTATAACAGTCATACATTCTTTGAAATATAATGTTCAGAGTATTATTATCAATACAATCACTATTGTACATGTCAGCTAAACCAAGCCTTTGGAATTCCTTCTTAATGTTTACAATCCATTCATCATTATTTTCAACCATATCTTGATAACATGCTTGTAATATACAATTATCACTGTTTTTTAATTTCACCCAGTATTTCAAAATTTTCTTTTTCCTTTCAAGTATAAGTGGAAATCTACCTGATTCACAGTAAATTGCATCATTACTAGTGCTTTGTCTGACCTTTAAGACTCGTTTACAATAATTCAAGTGAACATTTTCTATATCTTGACCCTTGTGAAATCCCCATACTTCAGCTCCATAACTCATAACACTGTTAACAAAAGTATCGAATACAGCTAATTGTGTTTCTACGTTAAAATGCAAATCCCTGATTTTACTATTTACACCATACATAGCTTTTTTACCTTGACATGAAAAATGTTTCTGTGTTTCAGTAAATTTTCCATTATAATTAAATAACATACCTAGATAATTAAACTGATTAACAACTTCAACATTGCAACCGTTGTATATCCAACGTTCATTTTCCAGTATTTTATGACTATTGCGAAAAATTAATATTTTTGTTTTTTCAACATTAACAGTTAGATTCCACTCCGTTGTGTATGTATATAATGCATCCAACATTCTTTGTAAACCCTCAGCTGAGTCAGATATCAAAACAGTATCATCTGCATACATCAGTAAAAATATATTTATCATCTGCAGTTCGATTGATGGACAATTATTTGTAATAAAGTGACGTTCAAAGTCATTCAAATACATAGAAAATAATAATGGTGATAAAATTTCACCTTGTAACACACCAGACGTAATTTTGAAATACTCTGTAAGTAAACCATTATATTTTACACATGCCTTAATATTATCATATAAAGATTTGATAATACAAAATAATTTCCCTTGAATACCCTGAGTACTAATTTTAAGCCACAAGTTAATTCTATTGATATAATCGAAGGCTTTTTGATAATCTACAAAACAACAATAAAGTTTTCTTTTGTTCCTTAAGAATTTGTTAACTAATGTCTGTAGAACAAATATTGCATCAATGGTACTTGCACCTGACTTGAATCCAAATTGCGCGTCTGTAGTTATGTTATACTCTTTATCCCAATGCATCAGTCTATTATTTAATATGCTTGTAAATAATTTAGCCATGCAACTAACAAGTGTAATTCCCCTATAATTATTAGGATTATTACTATCCCCTTTCTTAAAAACTGGCACTATACACCCAGTAGCCCAACTCTCTGGATAATGGCCTGACGTAAAGATTTTATTGAACAACATGCATAAAATAGGCATGAGTATTTGTTTACAATGGATGAAGAATTCGTTAATCATGCAATCTTCTGCATTACTTTTATTATGATTTAATTTATCAATAGCATATTCAATTTCTTGTACCGTAATTTCCTGATCTAATTCACAGTATACTGATGATTGTATCTCTACGTAATTAAATTCATTATTCCAATTGTTTTCTGTATTACATTCAAGCAAGGTTTTGAAATGTTCTAAGAAATCGTTAGCCGATAAATCTGAACTTACTTGCCCTTTCTTACGTTCAAACAATTTAACATATAACTCTGTATCAAGATAGGTTTTGCCAAATTGGTCCAGCTAGTGGTTCTGGTATACAGCGTTAAATAACAAATATGGAGTACGCCTTGTACACAACGAAAATAAATTCTTATTCACTATAATTCAACCCAGGTGAGTTTAATTTTACATTACTTTTGTATGCGTGTGCTTTTAACTTTGTTGAGCTTCTACAAAATTCCAAACGATGAATGATGCACTCGTGAGAAAACGTCACCATTGGTTTTCTTACGCAATGTACATAAGACTAAGAGAAACAACTCTGCACATTATTTCTGACGTCATTCTATTTTTATCTGTGGAAATTTATCCGCGCACAAATCTTTAATTGTTAAACAAAGGGGGGAAATTAAATGGGAATTTTAATTTTATAAAAACAGTATTTTTCTCGATATTGCCAAGTTATCTTTTTTCAATAAAGTTGGTAATTTATAGATCATGCATTATTTTTATTTTATTCGATGAATGAAAGAACTATTTTCTTTTGCGAAGGTATATGTACTGTTGTTGTAATCAGAAGGTTCATATGTCAACAAGAGTGTAATGGCTATTTTCGTAACAAAGTTTGTCCATAACTTAAAAGATACTCTTTAAAATTTCGTTACCAGTTTACTTGAAAATGGCAGGAATAGTGGTGATAAATATCAGCTATGAAGGAGACAATGAAGTCTCCGAAATTTACAAACTTCATCGTCAAACCCGATGGGTTGATTTGGAGGCTATGGTAAGATTATTGCGTATCAGATTGGTGAAGAATCTGTAATTTTTATTGAATCGAGAGTCAGAACACCTGTTGAAATACAATTTAAGCAGAAGGAGTCATCTTATTCACTGACTGTCATAAAGTGTTATGTATTGAAAATTAAAAGGAAGAGAAACATTTGAATGCGAATCGGAAAACAAAACAAAATGGTGGCCATCATTTTATTTTACCAGTGTTTACGTCAGATCAGTATTTTGGTATTCAAGGAAGTCTGAAACACAAATTCTTTGTATTTTGAGTGCATTTGATTAAAATTGAGACCTTTTAATGTAACTTTTATTTTTGTTTATATGGAATGTAACCTAGTGGTTGTCCAGTTAAAAAGGAATCTATGCAAAGACATAGGCTTATTTCACAATCGCAAATATTTTTAAATATGATCACAGAGGCATGTGACTTAGTCGATTTGAATGGATACACAGAACATGCTATTATAAAGAATTATTTACATCGTTTAAACATAAAAATTATGAATAGGTCTCACCGTCTGCGATCATATTTCAGATGAAGCTTAGGGGTGAAACCAGCCTCCTTCAAATTTGATCATGAAAAATTTGGTCGGTTCGGTTATTCTACATTTTGATAGAAGGAAACAGATTCAATGTTGTTTTATGCTACCTTTTACTTAATCTAGTAAAATAATTTATGTCAAAATGGATAGAATGTATCAATTTAATTGATTTGACTGTTAAATATTATTTTACAAACTTCAAGTCCACACAAACTTACATTTCTGAACTAATTATACAGAAAAGCATGTTTATACCTTATGCCAAACCCGACTGAATGACGATCCCGACCTTAAAACGAACCGAACCGAAAGCAGAGATTTTGTGCCATGGTATTGTCAAATCGGTGAACCGTTTCACTCCTAATGAAGCTACCAGTAAATTTATCATGATGTCTGTTTCTCTTGAAACACTGAAATGTAGAATCGATGTACATACACATCTGACAAAGCATTTGTACCATGGTCTTGTCAAATCTTCATTAGACCATTCTTGATAGAGGAACAAATGCACAAGTATCATTTTAGCTGTATAATTGGAAAGATCCCCTTCCCCCTCCCAAAGCATTCAATCAACAAAGAAAAGAAATGAATATACTTGATTATGTTACAGTATACCATTTCCGTTCATTGAGAAATGTGTCTTGCTAAAAATTAAAAAATACGGGTTTAACAGGAATATTTTTCTGTCTCACTCATCAATATTTTGCAAGTATTTAATTTTTTTTTTTTCATTTATTGTAATCTTAAAATTGTTATTTGTAGTTGAAAGCCCAGTTTGATTGTGAAAATATGGGAGTGTATTATGTTGACTCAGAAGGAGACTATGTAAGTAGTGTCGATTTTTTTTTAATTGATAAATATTCCATTAAGTGTTATTCAAAAACTGAGGAGAAATTGCATATGTGCAAATACCTGTTTTTACTGTTGTGAATATTAAGCTAAATTATGTCATGTTTTAGATTGCCATGAGTAGTCAAGGAGAACTGGAGGAGGCCTTCAAGGTATTTGATTATATTACTTTTCCCTTTAATGAATAAATCCAAATTCCAACTCTCCAAAAAGGGAGTAATTTTCATTTAAGACTCCTCTCATACCACTGAATGAAATTTGATGAAACTTTCAGAATCTTTATTACATATTGCCATTGTGCACCTCCTATTTTACTTTTTGATCCGACACATATTTTGGGTTTCTCGGCCACAGCAAAACATGGACTTCACCAGTTAAAACCATATGGGAGGTTTAAGCTCAACAGTACCTCTAGTTTAAGATTAAATTCATATGTTATTTTCCTGATTGTTTATAACAGGTTGCAGATCAGTGCCACAACACTTTGTATATGAGAGTGAGAAACTTAGGATCCACTCCTCCAAAACGTACAGTTGAGGCAGATGCCATCCCCATTACTGAGGACAACACAGAGCTTAAATTAGCCCCTGTAATTCCGGACACCCTCCATCAGGAGAAGAAGCCAGAGATTGTCTTACAGGTGGAGGATCCAGCCCAGGCTGTGGAAGAAGCCACCGGCGAAAGGAAACATCCTAGGTACAGTCTATCTAGTTCTTCTTAGACGTAAAAAAAACACTACACTGTGTGGTTTTTTTTAACTCCTGTGCAACAAGCAAAATTCGGTTATAAACTTAAGAGGTGAAAACATACATACTGTTTGCCTTAGCTTTTAAAGAAATTTTTACATTGAATAAATAAGATATCATACATGACAAGAAACAAATCAGTATCTGTCTATATTGTGTACATTTATATTGTCACAAAGAAAAAGTAAAAAAATATAGCAATCATTTTGTAAGGTAAGGTGTAAGATTTATAGGTGATTACCATTACACAGCTATGAACATACCTGTTCCTAGTATACATTGATCTTGTGCAGGTTGTCTATAGTATATTATTAATATTGTCACAAAGAAAAAGTAAAAAATATTTTTATAGCAATCATATTGTAAAAGTAAGATTTTGATTACCATTAAATATCATATAAGAATATGTTTCATTTGTAAATATATCTAGATGACTTTAATATCTGTTGTAGACAAGAGAAGAGAGAAAAACCAGATGATGTGGATAGTCCCTCAGAAACAACACCACTGTTTGTAAGTACTGGATACTTAAATAAACCTGTAGTCATTTGAAAAGATGAAGTGTGCCGAGATAACTTAATATCATTTTGTGTAAAACATATTTTCAATAATTATGTACTTTGTGCTTTGTACTCTTTAAGTTTTTGTTAAACTTTAACTCTTGATTATTTTCTTATGTTAATACAGTCTGTGAAGAAATCAAAAAAGAGACACTCCAGAGATTCTGACAGAAAGAAGAGCGGACATCGGCATAAAGAGGAATCCCAAGCCGGGGAACGAAAAACTGAGGAGGCTATTCCCTACCCAGCCTTCATCAAGTACATGAAGGAGGTAAGAGGGTATTCCCAAAGACAAATTGATATAAAATTTATATTTGCACAATCTACACATGAGAAAAGTTCGCGGACACATTGGAAAATCTATGTCTGAATAAATTCCTACATTTTGTTAATTGGTATGTAAAAATCAGGTCCATATACTAAAATCTTGAAAATTTACAACGATTTTTATTGTAAGGTCATGGGATTCACGGAGCAATCACTTGACGTAAGGCGACGTGACAACCAGATTTCAACCCGTTAAGCTTTGTCACAGTTCTAAATAATTTTCAATTCTTCAGATCTTTCGTATCCTTTTTCTACTTTAAAATTGAATATCTATATCAAGATATGTTAATTTTCTATCATAATGTCTTTTGTACTGATTTGGATAGTACTGAGATCTTAAAAAAGGCTACGCAGTTAATCGATCAGGTGTGGAAAATATGCAAAACCATATTGGCACAACGCAACGTCCATGGATGCGATAAGGGGGTATTGAAGTATCGATGGAGTTAATCATTCAAAATATTAATCTTTCCATTCTTATAAAGCCACAACATTTGAAAACTTTTTTTCTTTGTATATGTAGGAAATTCCTGACAGCATCTTGAACATTTCAACTCTTTTTAGACATTTACCAGTCTGCATACATAATTTTTACGTACAGGTTTCTGATTTATATCCCTTATACCTGTATAATTTGTTAGTGAAATTTATATAAATTGATGAAATTTTGCACTTGTGTTATAAATTGCACATCATAAACGTAGTGATATTGAATTGGCAGCTGAAGAAGGAGTTGCACACAGAAATTGTTAAAGACGTGACTAGAAAGACCGTGAAGCATGTGTTGCGTGGTTTGGACGGGGCTGTTTTGCAGAGCTACAGAGGGGGAGAGGGAACAGAAAACCAACCTAAGGGGTCCACAGTATCCTCTGATGAGACACCCAAGGTCAAACCAATGACAGACACAGTCAAGCCAGATGACAGTAGTGTCCATCGTAAGCTCTCTTTCTTTTGTATTGTTTAGCTTTTTAAGCATTTGTATTAGAACAATACTGTGTGTGATTCATTTATTTTTTTAAAGGAAATGAACTTGAAACTTTTATTTACTTTTTCAGAAATTTACTACCATTGTGGTGTTATTTGTGACAACTGCAATAAAGTGGTTGTTGGATCTCGATACAAGTGTTGGTTAGTATGTACTTTATTCTTAAAAGGACTGAAAGTAACCAAATGTAAAGCGACAATTAGTATATTTATATACATTTAATATTGTATATTGTTTTTGATTAAGTCTGTTTTTATTACAGTAACTGTGTGGACTATGATCTATGTGAGGAATGTGAGAACATCAGTGGAGTCCACGATCCTACCCATGTCTTCATCAAACTCCGTCGACCAATTAGATTCAGGCAGAAGGGCCCTCTCATGAAGCAGATTCTGTACAAAGCTTATCGACAGCCAACATCCTCAGAGGAGAAGGAAGAAACTGATGAAAACGAGGCTGCGGCCATTACCTTGAATGGTGGAAAACAAGGCAAAATACTGGCTAAAATCGAAAAGTAAGTCTGGTAGTTGTAGTATAAGTTGTCTAAACTTGACACCACTAGCTCCAGGGAAACTGGACAATTAGACAACATTCTGGAGTAGATAACATTTTAAACAACTGAATGTACTGAAAGAGAAATTGACATCATATTAAACAATATTTTGGAATACACAACACATGGATTAGACAAGTTACACTGTATATCATAGTGATATTGTCTGATTGTGAAATCTTTTCCTACACCATCTTTTCTAACCATCACCCTATTAATTTCTCTTCTGTTTTATTCCTAATCCACTTTCTAACATCATTTGGTGCCATTTTGAATTGAAGTAGACTTCCATTGTCTATTTTGTTTGTAGAGTACAAGCAAAAGCAGCAATGAAGCAAGAAAAGATAAAACAAAAACAAGAGAAGACAATAGAAAAGTTGAAAATGAAATTGTAAGCTTGACCTTGTAAATCAATCTTGTAATAAAATTTCTAAAACAAGAAAGTAGAAAAAAAAAATCTCACACTTCAATTAATAATTGTATTATTGTAATTGTGATACATATGGTAAAATTGAAGATGACGAAGCGTTTGATATTAAATATACATTAATTCAAAAGGAAAAGATTTCACTATTTGGTAAATAGGCCTAAGATTAAAAAAACTAGATCCAATAACAGTAAGCATATAGCAGTACACTGTATATCAACTTGTTATGCTTTAGGGATGTTGTAAAAGACATGAAGGCCCATTTTATGGGAGACCTGACCATCCCTGATGGAACCAAAGTACAACCAGGGACCAAATTTGTAAAGACTTGGAAAATCCGAAATTCTGGAAATATCTCATGGAGAGAGACCACTAAAGTATGCTCACATAGATTTCTGTATCTCATTCTAAATCTAAAGAAGTAAATTAAGTTGGTTTTCTTGTAGGTTTGTTATTATTGATGTCTATTTATTTTAGCTCCATAACATCTCTGGAGACCTGCCAACCCCCTCCTCTGATATTGATGTCCCCCTCCTGAACCCCGGGGAGACAGCTGATATCTCTGTCACATTCTTTGCCCCAGAGGAACCAGGTTAGTGTCTTTGAAAATTGAAAGCCTGAGTATATTTGGAATTTACTATTTGGAATTTTCTATTTTAAATTCTAGCTATTTTTGGTACCAGAAGTTGGTGGGACTTCCTTCCTTGCACTATCTCGTCTTTTACAAAAATCATGATAAATTTTTGAGTGATTCATTGAGGAATTTTTTTTCCTGTGAACAGGGAAGTATCAGAGTCACTGGAAGATGCTGGATTCCGGTCACCAGTTTGGACACCGAGTCTGGTGTCTAGTACAGGTGGAGCCAAAACTGGTTCTAGAGCCCAAACAGTCAGAGGATTCACTCAGAATTGTCAATGAGGAGTCAAAATCAGAGAAAAAGGTAAAAGGATAAAAAAGCATTTCTTTTAACTGACTCCACAAGACTAACATTACATTTTTCTTGATTATTGGGTCCACTTTTTGTAATGTATATATTATTTGTAATTTTGATTCACCTTTACTTCTCAATGTACAAAGGTAAAGTGTCAGTCTAAAAGTAGGCCTATCTGTGAAATTAACTGGATGCAAGTACAATGTATTACCAGACCAGATGCAACTAAAAGTCAGAAATCTTCAGTATTGTATGCACATACAGTATTAATGAATTTTAAAAAAATGAATATTCAATTTATGTGATTAAACAGGAAGTGGAAACTCTGACAGACCATGCAGATGAGAACTTGGCTGAATCCACGGAAAAGGATGAAACAGAATTCTTAATTGAGAAAAGTCCAATACAATTTGAAAAGAAACCAGAGAGCCAGCCCTCTGAGACTATAAACAATGAGACTGTCCAGAAACTGGAGCAGGAACTGACCACAGCAGCTGCGGCCATGGCCCAGTTACAGCTGGACGCCCAGCAGAAGCCCACTGTGTCTGAGGAGACTGGGCAGGACCTGATGTCATTTGAAATGCTGGACATGTCCTCCAGAGGGTCCAACAAAATGTCTCAGACAGCCACACCCAACAACACTCCACTTGGTGAGAAATGAATTTTATATAGGAATGACTTTGTATGTCTGTCTGTTTAGTCTTATCTGGGCTATAACTACATAATGGAGAATCACCAGAAATTCATACATGTACTTGGTACATAGGATGTCCATATTTCACTTAAAGCGCTACTTATTACCAAAGAATGCATGGTTTATCAAGTGGATTTTGGCAAGTTCAAGGTCATGAAATTACAAAGTAAATTATAATTTATGCTATCCATTTAAGAAAAGATTGTGAAAAAAGGGTTTAAAAATACACTCATAAACAGTAAAATCTGCATTTTCATTGTAAGGATTAAAAAAGCCGAATTGAATATTCTTTTGACATATCAGTACATGTTTGTGCTTGATATTAGATTCATTTATTATTTGTGTTGCACCAACAGTTGTGTCCCCTCCTAAGTCACCGTTGCCAGAAGAGGGCAGTTTGTCAAGGACCAGCAGTGTTGAACTTTTAAACCCAGAGGACTATACAGAAAAAACAGAGATCATTGACAAAGAGTTTGTGGAGAATTACATGAGCAGTCTGCCCATCCCCCAACCAGGTAAATTCTGAAGGGCATTGAATTAAAATTCATGCATTTTGTAGTCCTCCATAATTTTGAGTCTCACTAGATAATTTTTGCAGAAGTGCATAAATTACTGTCTCTGATTCAATTTGTATTATGACTGTTAATTTGATCTTAACGCAAGTCTCAATAGGTTATGAGACAGTTTGTAGAAAGAAGCCTCATCTGTAACGTACATTGTATACATGTATTGTTTATCAGCAGAAATCCAGTACTCCTCTGAGGACAATGAGAGCCTCAGTGAGGATGAGGATTTCCTCATTGTTCCCATGCCGGCCTGTTTTGACTTCAGTAAGCCTGTCATCAGAGCACAGCTGTCAGAGAGCTCCTCAGACAATGAAACAACGGACAACAACCATAACGTGCTGGACGACAACCACAACAACATTGTCACTAGTAAGATATACATAGTGTGTTTTGAATTTGGGAAATATTATTTCTCTTTATTTTGTAAATTAAATGATTGTTTGATTTATATGATTAATATTAATCCAGTCATTAATTGTACATTTAACTGCTGTGTGATTGTGCATTGACTATATTTACAGTATTGTAGAATGGTGTGTGATTTGAATTGCGTTCCAAAAATAAAAATTACATTTAATTTATATACTAAGGTCATGTCTTTTTTCAATTAACATTTTCATTTCTTTTCCATGGTTCTCTTGAGTTCAGCCAATCAAGCATTTTTTCTTACTTTTTTATAACGCTGCAAAAATTTCTGATTCATTGTTTACATTTTATATATTGTTTCTATTCAGATTTGATTTTTTTTATGAGGGCTAAAATCATAATAGAAGTGCATGTTTGTATCATAGCTATGTTGTCATAATAACAGACGGCATGTTGTGGTTTGGAGTGATTCTAACATTTTGCATGTAGGTCCTCCCTCAGTGGATGATATTCTGACTGCTTCAAATTCAGTGTCTACACCCCCACTGGATCCACTCATCCCTTCACCGGCCTCCCCAGCACTGGTCGATGGTCTCGGCCACAGTACACCAGAGATGTTGACAGCTCCTGCCCAGGGGGGAGTCAGGGAGGAAATAAGGACTGAGAGGGAAATAGGGGCATCAGGTACAATAAAATATCTGAGTTATTTGTAAGGATTAAACAAAGCTCTGTCTCATAACGCCCTTATTACCCCTGTTGTATGCAGGTGCATGAATCTTTCTATTGCAAGATGAAATAATATTAATTCTGTAATCAAAATCTAATGCTCAACAGGAAATCTTGAGGTGCCCTCAACAAATACAGAAACGGGGGAAGTGAGTGCTACAAATACAACCATTATTGAACAAGCTGTCGAAACTGAAGAGATCAGTGCAACAAATGCAACAATAATGGAACAGTCCAATGAGACAGGGGAGGCAACCAACAATCGAACTGAGGATCAGGCCTGCTCACCCCTGGACACAACTGAAGTCAAGGAGGCCCTTCCACAGGGAGATGTATGCACAGGCGGGGCTCACCATGGGGATCAAAACAAAGGCGATAAGGCTGAAGGATATGAAATGTAAGTTTGAATAGAAATCAGATTGTGTTACATATTGTGTATGCTAGGTTTGACAGCTAGAAATAAACAATGATTTATGTACAGGCCTGTTGCTGGTGAGATGGTAAATCAGATGGTTTCCACTGCGGTGAAGGCAGCCAATCGTGCTGCTGCTAATGCTTATACTACCTGTAAAGAAGTCTTCTACACCTGGCAAGCCAGAACCTATCAGGTAAAGCCAAAAATAAGTCTTTTTCATCATTGTCAATTCAGCATACAGTAAAACTCGTTTAGTACGAACACGGATATAGCGAATTCACGGATATAGCGAAGTTTTTCTGGGTCCCCGACTAAATTCTTTACAAAGAGTTGTAAAATTTTACGGTTATAACGAACTCTGATATAACGAATTTACGGATACAGCGAACTGATTTTGAGTCCCGCTGAGGTAAAATATAATGAAATTTACATCTTTTATAACGAACTTTCAAGGATCTCAAAATTTGATAAATTGACTTGACTTTATTTTATTTAAGAATGTATAGAAAAATTCAATTCGAAATAGAACCTTGGTTATCGAAGGTATTTTCCCTAATATTTACTTCCCTAACAGATTTAGTAGTTATATGTTAGGAAAACATGCATATAGCGAATTCGCTATATATGGTTATGCGAATTCGTTATACGGATATAACGAATTACAGATATAGCGAATTTAATTCACAGGTCCCCAGGACTTCGCTATATCCGAGTTTTACTGTATTTAATTCAACAGCTTTTGTGTAATATTTATCCGTTTCACTTTTAAATCCGTGAATTTTGTGCAATGGGTAATGATTACATCGAGGGATACACTAATAAATGAATGCCTTTTCAGAACGGTACTTCCCAAGAAGAAAAGGAATACCTAATTCCCAAATCAACATGGAAACCCAAGGCTGCAAAATGGAAGCCAAAGGAGGAAAAATGGGTGCCCAAGTCCACAGATTCTGGTCCAATGAAGAAACTCATAGAGATGGGCTTCTGTAACAGACAGAGAAACCAGGAGTTGCTCAACAAACATGACTATAACTTGGACAAAGTTCTGGCGGAACTCCTCAATCAGTCAGACAATGACTGGATGCACAACAGGCACTAGGTTATTGGGTGCTGTGATTTGATGAACAATGTTTTATTTTGTTTACTGAAAGTTTTCCATGTTTCAGTTTACTTTATATTTGAAAGAGCTGTTTTATGTATATTATTTAGTACATGTATATTGATGAAGGATATTGCTTAACTATAGGAGAATTGATCTTTGTTAAAAAAACAAAAACAAAAAAAAAATCTTTCTGCAGTGTATATTTGTCAGTTCTAAATGTTAAATCATCACCCTTAAAACAGCACAGAATCTCCTATTGTTGACATTTTATATCCAGCTTCTTTCCACATCATTGTAATGCACCATAACTACTGGTAACAAATGAACATCAAGTCAGTAGAAATTGATATCTTTACAAGAAATGTATAGTACACATGTTTATTATTTAATTGTTTCGATCAAGATGTAATAATTGTATGCATTTAAATTTTTCATGAGTGCTCAACTTCCATGCTCTGCTGGGGAAAGACATCTTTTTAAAAAAAAATTGTTTGCCCTCTCCTGACTTACTAAAAATGGCTGACCTCAAATTTACAACTGAATATTTTAATTTTATTAAAATTTTCATGTTAAATTTAATTCAGCACTGATGCTGAATTTTTTTAGGGGAAAAAATTACATCCTACTTATGAAACAATTTTTTTTATCCTGAGTTAGATAATATAATAAAGTTTGGACAGCTAGGGCAAACATTTTTTCTTAGATGATGGTCTTGGATGCACTATTATAACAAGCTACACTATTATAACAAGCTACCTTATTAATTTCACACATGGCGAATTCTAATTGTTAAGTTTATTTTTTTTTTATATATCATTACTTGTGTACAGTTGGTGGAAGACTAATTCATTTACTATTCAAGATATAGATTTCATTCTACTTTTTTCTGTGATATCACTTGTAAATAAAAAAAAAAATGTTTGTTGGATTTGATTTTGTCCCCACATATACATGTATATTTATAAAGTCAGTGCTGTTGTTATTGTACACTGAAGTTATTCAGTTATAATGACTTTTATGTGCAAGTGTCAACCTCTTGAATTCTTTTGTGTTGTTTTTCCCCTATGTTTTGTTATTAATTAATGTCAGTGTTTGGAATGTGCACCTGTTAATTGGATTAGTGTTCAGATGACGTAATTGTTGGAGGATGCACATTATTCTGTTTTAAATAGATATGTACATGTTTGAAGATATGCTAAAAGAGACTGTGATCTGAAGATTAGAAATTTTTGTTACATGTATAAGAGGGGAAAGTGCTGGAAATTTTAAGTGTGTCAGGCTTTCTTTAAGGCTTGCTTAGAAAGTAAAATTAAATCTGTGTTTTTCTGAAAAGCTATTGATCAGCATGTAATATGTGTCTAAAGATTAATAAACTTACACTATTATTTTTGGGGTTTTTTTTCTGTGTTCATACTCCAGGACTTTTTGAACTTTAGAGCACATTGAAAGAACAGATAGAAAAGTGCAATTGATGACTCCTTTGAAATGCATATTAAAGCAGAATTTCAGAACAGGATGTGTTCATAGAATTTTTCTAGGACTTATGTCCCTTTGCATATCTACACTGTATGTTCTTATTCACTACAAAGTTTCACGAAATTTTGTACAGCAGTTTCAAAAGAGCTGCATTGACTAATGATTTTAAATTAGAACATAATGTGTTTCAAAATGTCAATTTTGGTTTGGAATACACTTGGACCCTTTGCAACTAAAAATCTATAAAAAAAAATAAATCTGCCTAGTCCATGTATCATTATACTACCATATGACGTCTTGAAATGCCTCATTTTCCTTAAATACCAGAATTTTCTTTAAAAATAGCCAAGAATTCCAATTTTTTTCATTTTGCACAGACCCCAACCTGTGATCCAAAATCATCAATTTTCTTTATACAAGAACTGTTTCAGAAGATAATAATCCATGTTTTTAGCTCTACTGGTCAGAGACCAGAAGAGCTCATGTGAAAGTAAGGTGTCCGTCCGTCTGTCTAGCTGTCTGTCTGTACACAATTTTTTTACAGCAGTTTTCATTTCAATGTTTGCATTGTAAACAATAAATTTGTGCATCTGTGAACGGTGTTGCCATGATTACTAAAAATAGAAATTTCTGTGAAATTCCTTTAAAACGCTACTTCTCCTTCAGTTTTGGTCTGATTTCAATATAATTTGGCACACAAGTAGACTACACTAAGATACATGAATTAGTATATCAGTTTTTTGATTTCGATTTACGGTGTTGCCATGGTTACTAAAAATAGAAATTTCTGAAATTTTTTTTTAATGTTACGTCTCCTCCTCAAGTTTTGGTTGGATTTCAATATAACTTAGTACACAAGTTGCCCCAAAAAGAGACTTAATCAAGGATCATTTTATATTTATTGCTGTTGTAAAGTTTCAAGTCCCAGTGGCTACTTTTCTTTTTCTTTGTTAGTTTGTTTGAAGTACAAACCAGTAGAGTTACAGTCTTGACAGAGACTTCTGGTTATTTCTGGGATAGCAGAGTAGGCTCATATTATAATTCTTTGCAGAAGGTATTTAGATATACACTGTACCTATTTTCTTCAAAAGTTCAAGAACATTGTCCATGTATCATCCCGCCTACATTTTATCTATTTAATAAATGACCTCAATTTCAATTATAATTGATTAATAATTTCAATACCAGTGTAAAATAGTTAATTATCCCTTATTCTAGCTCTTTAAAAAAGGGGGGTAGACGATATTTTTCGTTGAAACCGGACTTTAAACCATCATCGTATTTTAAAATATTTTTGAATGTGAATAGATGTTCCTTACCTCTTTTCTTATGTTTTAAGCATATGAAATTAAACATATATCATTAATAAAATACTATGTTTTAGTTGTTAACCCCTTTGAAATTGGTGAAAAATTAAAACTTTTGTCATTTTTTTGTCAGTAAACATATGTTCCCCCCCGGAAACACAAAAAGCTTTGGTATGAATTTGGGAAATGACGGGAAATGACAGTCTATATTAACTATTCCAGAAGAGAATAAAAAACACGTTTTGTTTTTGGGATAAATAATGTTTTATGGAAATTCATGTAAATATGAATATAATTCTTTGCAGAAATATTCAAATATATACCTTTTATTCTTGGAAAAAAAAAAATCCAAGAACTTGACAATTTCAAACCTGGCTTGGATTTCTCAAAAAAAAGTTTTTTCAAATACATGGACTATCGCAGGAATTTTTTTTAATAAGAAACAAGAACACTAAGTCTCTACTTTACACTGATGTCTGAAAATGGACAAAAGGACCTAGTCAATTAATTGGTATAAGGACATTCAGGGCCATTTTATGAGTAAATTGAACTTGGTTCTTTCCAGCAAAAAAGCATATCAATTTATTACACTGTACTGGTATGTCCTCATTACGTTTCACAATATCTTGATTTGTTGTACAGAAAATTTGCTAATGCAGAAATTCTTGATGGTATAAGCTGCTTGTTTTTACTTGAATTTCCAAGTTTAATTTTCTTCAATATTAGAAAAAAAGATGATGGATTCAAATAAAAGACAACTTGTACTGCATTAATTTCATAATAGACATTTATATATAGAAGTTCAACACATATTGATGTTTGTAAAATGACATGTTAAAGAGACATACATGTATATAAAGTGAAACTACAGAACTAGAACAAAAATTCTGGTTACAGATATACACATCAAAAATCTACCATCCCCATAATATTATTGCTACAGTTCCTTACAATTGTTAAAACCCAAGATCAGCTTACATTGCACACTAAAAGTTCCAAGAATATGAATTGCACGACTACATATATCAATGCAAAAAAGGAATGTATTGCTATAAATGATTCTACAATCAGCAGCAAATTGGTCACCATTCAAAAAGAAAAACAAAAAATTTAATGTTGAGAAAAAAAAAACAAGTATTTGATTCCTATGAATTACATTGTACATGTAATAAACACAAATGAAACATTAACAGGTGTATGGGGATATTTCAGAAATATTACAAGATCTATATTTAATGACCTTCTTGGAAGACATTTTGCAGATCCATTTATTCCAGCATATATTATAAGTTAATCTGATAAAACTGAGCTTTCTTAGATTTACAAAAAAAAAACTTTATTAATAAAAATTAAAAAGTTTTCATGTAAATGCCACTGCCACTCATCTTCATACATGTACATGTATTTATCGTAACACATTTTTTCTGGAAAAACGTACACAAAACAAGATAAAAGTACATTTATTTTGTACACTCATCTTGGATGAAAGCAAGAAAAGTTTTTGTAATTTCGTTCATGTGTTTAGTTGGAACATTTTCTTTGCAAGAAAAATCTAATAGACTATTTTGATGGTAGTGCTTATAATTATTCATATTTCTAACCTTCACAGAGTTAAGCACAACATACACAAGGATAACTTCTTGTTCTAAGAGACAAGTAGTCTTTTTTTCCTACCCTGGAATGCCATCAACTGATTTTAAATAATTCTGTAAAATTTTTGTAACTTAAACGTCAATGTCTTGAAAAATAAATATGCAGATGTCAGTTTTTCATTTCAAGTTTAAATAAGTCTCACACCCCTAAATATAATACTCTTGAATAAGATATAAAAATATTAAAATATTAACTAAATAAATGCAACGTGAACAAATAACTATAGATTATTGGACAACCAAATGAATATCGTGAAAAACAAAAACAAAAAAAAACTATTGTACATGTATTATAATAACAATATCCAAAAAATAGGAATGTGTACATAAATATTTAACATATCAAAGATTTTTTTTATAAAAATAAACAAACAACAAAGCAGATCCAACATATAAAGTGACAAGTTCTGACATGATCTGGTTTTCACAAAACAGAACCAGTTTATAAATACTTGTTCACAGCTTAGTTCATATGTACTTGATATGTGATTATGTTTTACGGTAAAAAGAAAAAAAAATGAAATTTAGATCACATACATGTAAACATTGTGTTTAAGGAATGTTATTGTCTTTTCACAACTAACATAGCATACATTCTTCCAATAATTTACAATGCAAATGGAAATGCATGATCTTGATGTGAACATTATATTTTTTCAAATGTAAAGGTGTCTTAATGTACAACACTACGATAAAAAAGAAAATTACTGTATAACAAGATCTAAAACATTGTGTAACACCACAAAAGCATTCACAGTGTAAGCATTGATAAATACCCTATAAAGACCAACATCAGTTCCATTTCAAATTTGGATACTTTAATACATTAACTAATGCCTAATGCAGATAAGGTATAATGTACAATGAGCAATGTGAAATATTGACTAAAATAAAAAGTTCTACTAAAAAAGCTTGTTCTTCTTCTTTATTTCCTGTTGTTTCCATGGGGCTTTAGTAATAAAATCTGAGTATTTCATCTTGAAAATCTTTTCAAAGTCTTCATTGCTAAGATGGATCTAAAAAACAAAACAAAATGAAATTTGGTTACGACACTCTAAGTATTTTAACAAGATACCATGTACATAAGTAGCCATCTCATCCAAATTATTTTTGGCACTTTTCACACAATACCCTGAGGACTAATTTATGAATCCTTCCCCTTAAATTTGTGCCTTGCCTATCTTTGCACTGAATTTTGTATAGTACCTAAAATTAGTTCATTGCCACATTCAGATATGAAGTTCTAATAAAAAGAATTTCATTAAAATTTTGAACAAATTCACCAAAGGACCCTCTCTTCACCAGTGCAAAATGCATTTCCTACCTCTCTACATGAAGGGTCAACTCCAGCAGGAAGTTCTTCAGCCGGTACTGTCAATTCATCATAGCTATATTTAGCCACATCCTGGAAGTCCGTGGAACCATTCTCTGCCACCTTAAACCAAGATAAACAATGTGTTCATATGAAACTTTCAATAGACAGAAAATGTATCCTAGTTTTGTTGTTCACTTTCATTACACTCTGAATAAGACAATATCGGTTCTTTACAACTTAATTTACGACAGACCCATGAATATTATCTTAATTAGAGGTGAATACATTTAAAAGCATGAACAAGAATTTAAAACAATTGGGAAAAATTGCTAATAATTAAAAAAAAAAACATTTTAAAAAGTTGATTTACAATCCTCTTACAAAACATTGAAATCTGACCTGCTTAACAAGAGACATAGCCTCATTTCCTTCTCCAAGTTCTTGCTTTAGTTCCTCAAATGATTTCCCCTTCTGCAAAGTCATAACATTTTTTTACGTCTGTCATTTCAAATCAGAAAATGCACAAGCCAAATGTACTAACCAATCTCAATATCTGAATTTGTGCTTATTATTTTTGAAAAGATATCAAAATAAACTTACACTCCATAACTCCCTATCCCACATTCCAAAGAAAC